CCGTCTGTGGCTTCCCCTCCCCCTACACGTGTGTCAGCTGTGGTGCCCGATACTGCACCGTGCGCTGTCTGGGAACCCACCAGGAGACCAGGTGAGCTCGGAACACCCCCTCCTCTCCCCTCTCCCCGAGGCCCACATCCTCTCCCTTGTAGCCCCGAGGGCCCCCAGACCCTCTCCTCATCCTGGGCTTCCTCTGCCTGCAGGTGCTTGAAGTGGACTGTGTGAGCCTGGGCGTCCCCGGAGGAGAGGGCCTTCTGCGCATCACCCCAGCCTCGGAGAGGGCTTGGCCAAAGGCAGAGGTGCTCTTCTGGACCTAGAGAGGAGCTGTTCGCTCACCCAACAGAGCTGTCTCTGACCTGCCAGGGAAGAGCAGTCTTACTCCTTACTCCCAGGACTGTGTGCAGGGAAGTGGGCTGGGCCCTCAGCGTGCTGTTGTAATAAAAGGTTTCATACCAGGAGGAGCCTGTTTGGTCACAGGTCTCCTGTCCTGCTCACTGCTCTGTGGCTTTTCCTTCTATCTGTCAGTCACCCCTCCCACGGTCTGCCTATCTGACCGTGGAAGATTTTATCCCATTCTCCTGCATCGCCCGTCTCTGCATTTGTTGGCTGCCGCTTGTTGTCATTTTTTGGTGATTTATTGAGTGTGTTTGCTTTTGCTTTTTGTTTCTCTAGTTCTTCTGAGTATCACTTGAGTGCCGCCAGGACTGGGTGACAGGGAAGTAGAGTGAGCTTTGGGGACGGGGGTAGAATGATACTGTGGAAGGAGCCAGCCCTGGCTTCGTCCTCTGGTCTTTAACCCAATGGAGAGAGCGACCCTTGTCCTTGGTGCCGCCGGTCTGAGGAGCAGTTGTCCCAAGGAGGCTGTTCTTACCGGGGACTGCAGTGTGTGAAATTATTAGTATCAGAGAAAACCCAGAAATTTCTGGGAAGCATGGGGGAATTCACGATATAGAGGCCTCTGTTCTTGGTGGCCCTGGATGCTGTAATTCTTTTCTTTTTTTCCTAAGATTTTATTTATTTATTTGAGAGAGAGAATGAGCATGGGAAGGGGCAGAGGGAGAAGCAGACTCCCTGCTGAGCTTAGAGCCTGACACAGGGCTCGATCTGAGGACCCTGAGATCATGACCTGGTGGAAGTCGGACACTTAACCGACTGAACCACCCAGGGGGCTCTGGATGCTGTAATTCTTACGTGGTATTAAAGCTTCTTACACTCATGCCTACTCCAAGTGGACTGCAAGCTATAAGCTCATAAAGCCCCTTGGAGTTGCTGTCTTAAGGCCCTGTACCCCGCTCGAACATAGCAAAGCAGATGCTTAGGACGTATTTGTTGTACTTGTTGAACAAATGACCTCAATAAGATATTAATGGGATCCAGCAAATTCCATGTTAGGCACCTTCGTGGGCTCTTCTCCCCGCTCTTGGTGCTTTACAACAGCTGGCCCAGATGTTCCCAGTGTCTTCCTTGCCCTTTCTCTGGAGACTTGAGGTTGGGTCAGAGGTGTTGGGGACAGCTCCAAGTCTGATGGTGAGGACACGGTTTGGGGACAGTCCCAAGTTGGTGGTTTTAAAAGATGGCTGTACATTTTCTGACTGTCCTTTCATCAAAAGGTAGAGTCTTTGTCCCCTTCCCCCGGGATTGGGGCAGAACTGTGACTGCTTCAACCAGTAGAGGGTGGCAGAATTGAGACCACGTGACATTCAAGGATTGGTAGTAAAAGGGAGGGAAGCTTCTGCCTCGTCAACTGGGAAAATTGTCCTTCCGGATCCCTCCGTCACCGTGTGAGAAATCCAGCCATCCTGAAGCTGCCACGCCACGAGGCACCCGGATTGCACGGGGGAGCCACACGCAGGTGCCGCCGCCGCCAGAGCCAGCCGAGCCAGGCCCTCACGCCACCCCAGCCCAGGCTTCCCTCATGGGAGTGAAGACCCCTCCAGAAGACTCCGACTGCCAGGCATCAGATCCCCCTCAGCCGTTGGAGGCTTCCTGGCCGTGTCCTCAACATCACGGAGCAGACACAAGCCAGCTCTGCTACGCCCCAGAGGCCTGACCTACAGCATCCGTGTGTATAATCAAGTGGTTCATGCCACTGCGTCTCGGGATGGTTATTACGCAGCAGTAGTAACTGGGACACCAGGAGTCCGGTTTGCTGGCTTCCGACTTCTGGCCTAAATTTATTGTCTCTCCCGTGAAGGGAAACTTTCCTGGGTCCTAAACTTTCAGTTTTCCTCTCCATCAGGAAGTACATGCAAGCAAGAAAACAGAAAAAAAAAAAAAAGGAGGAAGGAAGGAAAGAAGGGAGGGGAATAAAAGACTATGTCTTGGCTGAGAAACGCCATCAGCACTCGCTGTGATCACCTGCATTGGACTTCCTGTCAGATTTGCACTGAGCACGATCTCTTTGGTTTATTTCCTAAATCCGCTGGGTTTGTTCCATATTTTGCTGTAACAAAAAGAATCACGTAGGTTCTGCCTGGTGTAAGATTTGCCTACTCGGTGACACACTCAGGCTTGCCAGCTGACCTTGATAGGACAGAACCAGACCCACGGGCTCCTCGTTGCTCTGACGCCAGGGGGCTCCAGGAGTCCTCCATTGACATTCTCTGGGAAGGGTCTCTGGACCCCCACTTAAAACAAGGGAAGCCTTGAAGAGTTCTCGCCAGCTTCCTACGTGCTGGGGAGATTGGTCTCTACCTTGGGAGACACCGGGTCTCTGGGAAATGAACAGGGTGCCAAAAGCGTGTAGAGGGTGGTCCCAGTGTCCAGTGAGGGAGCAGCACAGCCTCCTGGGCGCACAGGGGGCAGGAGAGGTTGATTCTAGAGCCTGGGGGCTCACTCCTACAGCCCTCAATGAGAGTTGAATTTGGTTGGATTCGTTTGGAAAGGCCAGAATTCTGCGAAGCAGGCCAGGTGTGTCTTCAGTCTTGGGCAAATCCTGGTCCTACTGGTCCTACTGTTTCCTAACTGCATAGCTCGGACAGGTCGCTTACAGGTCACTCTTTCTTAGAGCCACCACCCCGATAGTGGGAGGATTAAACGGGACAGTGCGCCCAGCCCAGTGCCTGGCATTTGGAAAGTTCTCAGTCAGTGGCAGCCGTTGACATGATTGCCTAAGACCTCCAGCAGTTTGTTGTCGAGCCTTGTGACGGCCTGTTCCTCCGAAGACTGGACATTCCTCGCCGTAGCCCGAGCACCTAACACGGCAACCCGCTGCTTACATTTCTCTCGGCTCCTAGCTTGTGAGTTCTTTGGGGGCAGGAGCTGTGTCTTGGCGCCACACTAGCTTATAGCAAAGAAGGAAATAAGTATTGTTTAAAAGGGTAAGTGTGTTGATAGCTCCTAATAGCCAACTGACTATGCAGGAGGGACGGAAGATGTCAAAACTTAACCTAATGCCCGTGTTAAGGCGAGTACTTAGTTGCTCAAGTGTGGAGGCTGGCTCGTGTTAGCTTTCCTGAGAGCGGGGAAGGGGCGAGAAGAGGCAGGCTGGGCTCTGGGAAAGGAGGTAGAAGCTGTGGGGCGGGGGGCAGGTGGAAGTTGGGGTCAGAAGTGCCCTGGGTGGTGTCAGGAGATGTAATTGGCTTTTGTTCTTCTTCACGGCGGGGGCGGGGCGGGCATGCAGGATACAGGCGTCCCTGAGGAACTCTGATGGCCTCCAGAGTTGTAAGACCCTTCTTAAGGGGTAGGTCTCATTTTTGAGAGAGAATCCCACTATGGGTTTGCTAACAGAGCAAACCCCATGGGCCAGTCCTTGGCACAGTAGGTGGGTAGATCGTGACACTAGGGCCCATGCTCTCGTGCAGTCCCTTCCACACTGACTCTCCACTTGGCCACGTAACTGGCTCAGCCAGCGGGACATCCATAAACTTTATGGGAGCAGAGAGTGAGGGGGAAAAGGATATAGAGACTTCAGCAAACTTCTTGACCAGGAACCCCCTTAACAGCTTCTGGGGAGACCCATGGGACGCCCCAGTGCCAGTGTGCTCCCATGGCCAGTGAGCCGCCCCAGTTCGCTAGGAGAGCACGGTTGTACGGAGGAAGGGGAGGGCCGGGGCACAGAAAGGGGGGCCAGGGCAGCGTATCGAGGCCTTAATGGCCCTGGGCTTTTCTCCCGAGGCACTAGGGACCTGCTAAGGCAGCACAATGCTTGGCGCTCCACGAGAGGAATGTGGACGGGATTAGAAAGACGGATGAGAAGCTCGACTGGGGGAACCCTATCCTGAGCAGGAGACGATGAGGGCCCGACCTGGCGAAGGCAGTGAAAGGAGCGAAATAAGTGGATGTGAAGAACACTGCGGAGGGGGAATCCACGGGACCTGGGGGAGGTGGCGGAGGGCAAGTGAAGGGAGAGCCTGAGATGTTTGACCTTGTGGAGCTGTGTGACTCAGGGGTCGACTGTGCTGGTCACAGGAATGACAGGAAGTGGCTGGGGGGAGAGCGATGACGTTGGTGAATTTGCCAGCCTGGGGAAAACACACAGGGGGTGCGTGTACTTCTGAGGCTCGGGAGAGAGGGCCCAGTTAGAATGCAGATGTGGGTGTCTCTCCATCCCGGGGGACTGTCAGTGCAGGGGAGTGGGTAGGATGAAAGAGAAAGGAGAAGGGGTGAGACCAGAACTCAGGCCACCCCCAGTGACTAACTGGTCATCAGGTCAGCACTGCCGAGGTTGGGTACAGGGTTAGGGCCCTTGTCCCTCTCCTTTCATTGGATGCCAGGCCTCTCTTATGGCTTCATTTTCCTGTCTCCCACTGGGCCTGTTCCAAGCAGCCCACAACCCAGTCAGTGCTCTGTCTGGGTTGGACACCACTGAGTCACACACACACACCCCACCGGTATGCAAGCCTCTGGGAAGAGCTGTTCAGAGACTTTTCTGGAAGTCGTTGAATCTTTCCCCAGAAAAATCTGCCTACAGGAGACCTGGTTGATTTGACAGACAATTTCAAAGGGCTGTCAATTTGTGCTGTCCACTCTTAGGCACAGCTGAAGGAACTCTGCTCAAGGTCAGCTGTCTCCTTGAGAAAGGTCGAGCGTCAAGAGGGACTTGTTAGCTCAGGCTGGCCGGGGAGATATCTCTGCCCCTGTCAGTTTCCCAGAGGTGGGTCTTCCCGTATGCGCTGCTTGATGACTCTTGTCAGTAATTATGAGTGCCACACTCTTGAAATCATTTGCAACCCCTCCTCTTTTTTTCGGAAGAGACAGTCCAAAGGTGATAAAGAGAGGGACAGGTGACAGCCTGGGGTCCAAGACTGAGATGGCCCTGGGGGCCACCCCAGCCACCCGTTGCTTGGCCAGCCACTTCATGACACCCTCCATCCCTGAACAGTTCATAGTACAAATTTATTTATGCATGTATTTATACAGAATACAAACGGTCGGGGACGCCTCCGCCCCCTTAACCAACCAGCGCCCAGACCCAGAAGGTCCTGCCCCAGGAGTCCGAGGTGAGTTCTCAGGAGGCGGGTTCTTGGCCAGACGAAAGAGGCGGGGCCGGGGCCGGAGGCGCGGTCAGAGCTGGGCGTGGCTTCCGGCCACGGGGCGGAGTCGGGACGTGGCCTGCAGCCCGGGGTTGGGGGGCCGCTCTCCGCTGGGGGCAGTGGGAGGGGAATGGGGTCCACTGGCGTCCTACACGTAAGCGTTCTTCCCGTACTTGCCAAAGGTGCTGTCGCCTTCGTCCGAGGCCGCGGGGCGCAGGCGGCCAGGGAGGCCGGGGGACCGCACCGCGGAGGCCTCGTAGGGGAGCCTGGTTCAGAGAGGCCTGGCTCAGCGGAGGGGAGCCCCCGCCCCGCCCTCCCCGCCGCCGCCGCCGCACGCCGCCCTTACCTGGGGGCCGGGGCCGCGTCGGGAGAGCCGCAGCAGCCGGAGCCGAGGCAGAAGCCGCCCAGGATGGCGAGCAGGGAGGCGCTCCAGCCCAGGTAGAGGGCAGGGCCCAGCTCGTACCTGGGGACAGGAACGGGGCGGGGCAGCGCTAGCTCGGCCGGCCGAGTCCCACCCACAGCCCCCCGGGCCGGGGCGCCCACACTCACTTGGTCCCTGCATACACGGGGTCGAAAAATTCCTGGGTGATGTTGAAGGCGTACCAGGAGATGGCCACCATCCCGCAGAAACCTGGGGAGGGAGAGGAGGGTCACGCTCGAGCCCCAGGCCCGGCAGAGGGGGAGGGGGAGGGGGTAGCGCAAGTCCAAGAGCAAGCTGCACTCCCTCCCTAGCTCCTGACCTTTCTGTCTCCTAGGGTCCCAAGCGCAGCCCCTCTTTCATGTCTAGTCTCCCACGTTCTGCCCTTGGCCCGTTCTTTATTGCGACCCGCCCCGCATCTTGATCACCTAGTTGCCTCACTCGGAATCTGCCCCAACCAAATCCTACCGGTCCTGGGAAATCCAGCGGCCCCAGCAATGGTCCGGCGCAGCCTGCCCTGACGCCGTTCCTTCGGCCTCCCAAAGCCCCCAGAGCCTGTGACCTGCCTTTGCCACTCAGTGCAGTGAAGGCCTGAGGCCAGGGAGACCCCTGGACTGCAGGACCAGCCTCACCCCTCTCTGGGGGCTCCTCCAGTAAGTCACCGGAGTTTTCTGAGCCTGTTTCCGCATCTAGAGAAGAGGGCAAGACCCACCCTACCTCACAAACTGAGAAGAGATGGCCTGTCGCCCGGTGTTGTTACTGTCTGCACTGGGTTTGCATGCTTTCCCCCACCTCTGGTCTTCCTGGCCGGGCTGTAAGCTCTGCCGGGCGGGGGGCGGCAGACGCTCACTCACCTTTGGGGTCCCTCTCACACCTCACTCATGCCTGGCTCCTAGTGGGGGCTCAAGGAACCTTGCTGATGGACTGATTTGTAGCTGAGGGATTTTGGTGAGCATGAGTGAGGCTGGGTGAGCAGGGGGAGGGGAATTGCTGAGCAGGGAGGGCAGGTGTCGGTGCAATGGGGAAGGTGAGACACACACTGGCAGTGGCGAGCTGGAGAGGACAGGGAACCCCGGGTCCGCTGCCACCACCCTCAACCCCCCACCACAACGCAGGGCACACCCGCCCCCTTCCCCCAATTACCAGCCAATATGTGGAGGGCCCCCGCAGCGGCCGCCAGCTTGGCCTTCCGGGAGAGCTCCATGCTCCCAATGTTTACGCAGCGCAGCCCCACCATGCCTAGGAAGAGGCCCAGGAAGCCCAGGAAGATGGCGGTGATCATGAGCGCCCGGCAGGCCTGGATGTACCCTGGGGAGGTGGGGCGCAGCCATGGGTCCCTCAGCTGGCCCCTTTCCCCTCCACGACCGAGCCAGCCCCTTACAGCCAGTCCCTGCTCGGGTCTCCGCGCATAAAGGCCCTCAAGTCCTCTCCTTCCCCGTCAGGCCCTATTCGACTGAAGGGTCAGACGGTCTCGTTCCCAGGAGCTCACCTCAGCCCCAAGGGGTCTCAGCGTCTGCTCCCCGCCCCCCACCTGGCTTCCGTGGGCCTCGCGACAGGCTCGCTCCTGGCACTGCTGACACTGGCCGGAGCGTGCTCTGTCCTGGGGGCCGCCCTGTGCACTGCGGGATGTTCAGCGGCATCGCGGGCCTCTACTCATTAGATGTCGGTAGCAATCCGTCCCAAGAGGGACAAGCAACATGTCTAGACACTATCAAACGATCCCTGAGGGACAAAATCACCCCCAGCTGAGAGCCACTGGCCTGTTAGGTCCCCACCACGCTCTGTTGTGAATTACAGAAATTGCACATGAGTACTCCAGCCCCTTCCCCGCGCCTGCTTCTCTCTAGGTCCCACCTGGTGCCTGGCACAGCCCTAGTCGTCCTGAACTGAGCTTTCTCCCGAAGCGACCGGTAGGGGGCAGCAGCGGCCTATAGGTCACTGGAAGAGGGCCGTTTCCGCCGGGGGGGAAAGTGGGATACCCGGGCGCAGGACCCATCCAAGCCCATCTAGCTCAGGTATGTTTGGTGCCTCAGTTTCCCCTTTCTGAAAGCTGAAGGAAACGGCCCCCTTCCTTCCTGGTCCCCCCTCCCCCCTTCTCTGTGATAGTTGCCAAGCACTCCAAGGACCTTGCTCCCCTTTCCCTGGGTGGGGCAGTGTCTCTGGTGCTGAAGCAAAGGCTGGGTCTCTGCCAGGAGGATGTGGAGTGGCCCGGGGTTGGCAGGTAGGGAGGAGGGACAAAGTTCTCACTCCCTCTGGAGTTCCCACCCTCTCCCCTGCCCCGTATCTTCTACGCACCCATTCACCATGCATTTCCACCTGGGACTTGCCTGGCCCTGGGTCCCCAGGTGGCCGTGGTAGACCAAGGGGAGATTACTGATGGGCCCCGAGGGAGCGCGGGCTGGGCGGGATTAAATGATAGGACCTCCCCTCGGGACCCGCCAGCCTGGGTTCCAGCCCCCCTACCACCTGTGGGACCCTGGGCAGGTTAACGCTTGTCCTTGGGGCTTCCCAGCTTTGGTATGAGGAGGCCACTAACAGGCTGCACGGAGACAGCGCTGAGAGGGAACAGCTGAAGAGCCGAGAACCATGTCTGGGGCCCGGATGGCACCCAGCGCTGGGCAGCGGCCCCCTGCCCTTCCCCACCAGCATGCTCTTGCCCCTCCGTCAGCAGTTCCAAGCAGGGCCCTTCTCGGGCGGACAGGCTCACAGCAAAGGCCCCTCCTCAAGCCACGGTATGGTTGGGGTGGGGGAGGTGGGACTGGCCGTGGCTGCTGAGTCGGCTGCCTCCAACGTCTCTTCAGGCCACCGGCATCCTGGGCTTCTGGCCCAGAGGGTACTCAGCTTTTATAGGGAGCTGTGGGGGCGGGGGGGCACTTGCCTTGCACACAGTAAGTGCTGGGGAGAGGGATGAAAGCGTGAAGCCCCTACTGCTGTCTGAGAAGATTCTGGGAAGAGTGGGGGCACGGAGACCCACCGAGATCCCCTAACTTCTCAGAGCATCTCTGGCATTCCTGGAGGATTTCGTGGAGCCCTGTTCCAGACCCAGCGTTGGCTTTAGTTCTGTCCACTACCCCGCACCTGCAGTGGGGGCCCGGAAAGAGCACGATGGCTACAAGGAGGGGTGGGAGCAACACTGCCGAGGGTACCTGGTCCTCCCCTCTTGGTCTCTGGCATGGGGCCGCCGGAGGGGGGGCTACTCATAGGGTGAACAGGAAGCAGGAAGATGCGACCGCCACCAGGGAGAACCTTTCTGGGCCAAAAGAGCTGTAGGCTCCAGCCTGCGAAGAACTTCAAAAAATACACTGCCTGAGAATGCCGAGCACACACGCCCATGCGCGCGCATACAGCCCCTACCTGCTTCCAGACCCTCAGAGCTTCGGGGAGACTCCCTTTCAAAGGGCCCTTTAGAACTCGCCACGGCAGTGGGACCGATGCCCCAGGAGCCTGAGGCTTGTACGTGTCTCAACCCCAAGAACCCAAGATGGGGCATCCTCTTCACCCCATGAACCCCAGCCCTCCCACGCCAGAGCTAAGAGGCTGAAATTGGTTGTGTGCATACATCCGCTAACGTACCACGTTGACATCCTGTGTGCTTTATCGCAGCACACGGCCATCCCACGAGCCAGGGCGATTATTACCCTGACCCTACAGATGGGATCAATGAAGCTCACGTATCACCTGCCTGGGGCACAGAGCTAGTAAACCGAGCCCAGCAGGCAGACCCTGGTGCCTGCACTTGTAACTACTAGGAGTGTCACATTAGGGCAGGGGGACACGTGGGACGGGGTCTCTACCGCAGTTCCAGAAAGGGCACTGCCCCCCTCCCCCCAGCTTGATCCAGGCCTCCCTCGACAGTCTGGCACCCAAGGCCCGACCATGGGCAGCACCCACCCTCCCTGGGGCTCTCTCCCTCCTCCAGCCTCCTGCCACCCTCTGCCCCCTGGAGCTCTCCCCACCCCATACCAGAGAGGGCCAGCAAGGACGGGAACTCCCGGCAGTTGTAGACTCCCATGGAGTCGGTGGCACAGCTAAACCAGAGGTTCTCGAAGATGGTATTGGTGGTGATGACGTTCCCGTGCACGGTGGACACTCGCCAGTAGCTGTGTGGCAGGGTCACCCCCAGCATCAGCAGCCCCAGCGCTGCCATGAAGAAGCCGAAGGTCTCCACGGCCACTGACATGGTGGGATGCAGGGCCCCGAGGGGCGCCGGGGGCCCCAGAGGAGGGGAGGGGCTGAGCCCCGCAAGAACTTGAGGGGTTTTGGCTAAGTTGGGGTGTTAAGGCAGGCTGGGGAGAGAGGAAGGGGGGCCAGCTGCTGTGTGGACCCCAGGTCTGTCTCCCGGTTTCTGTCGTCAGCCCTCTCTCTGGGTCTCTGCTTCCCGGAAGGTCCGGGCAGAGGAATGAGCCTAGAGCACTGGGCAGCTGTTGACGAAGAGATGGAGGGAATAAAAGAAACAGGCCAAAAGTCCACCCCCTCCCCCAGCCTCTGGGCTCCCCGCCCCAGGAGGGGGGCGGAGAGGACTTATGGGAGTGACGAACGAACAAACGGATACAGCCAAGGAGGGGCCCCCATGGAAGGCAGTGGGAGCCAAGGGGAAGCGTCTCTGACTCAGCCTTCATCGGGGGCCAGAGAATGGAGTAAGAGGACAAGGAGAGAGAAGGTGACCGAGAGAGTGCGCACAGACAGACCTTTGGTGTGGCAGGATCCGGGAAGCAGAGCCACTCTCCTGGATGTTGGTGAGAACAATTTAAAAGACGCAAAAGACCTAGGGTTTGGGCCAAATCTTCCAAGGAAAATTAAGGTTGAATAAGGGAACAGGCTATTTGGGAGAAACCCACTGCTCTGGAGTCCATCCAACCCGGATTCAAACCAGACCCAGTATTTACCACAGCGACACAGGCATGAAGTTTGAGCCCCATGAGCTTGTTTCTGTTTCTGTGAACTAGAATTAGCTTCCTCACCTCATGGGTTGTATTAAGACCTGTCACCCCAGATCAAAAGCTCCCCACAAGTGTGACCTGCTCCCTCCTTGGTGACCACCCTGGGTCTGGATACCGCAAGCTGGGGTGAGGCCACCAGTTGCTTTCCTCCAAACTTCAACTTCCTGAACTTGAATTTCCCCCCTTGTCAGACTGATCTTTGATTCTCGGCACCAAGCTTGATCTTGCTGCCAAGGGCCACTGAGGGGGATAAATTACAGGCCCAGAATGTGATCCTGTGGCTAATCAGCCATCAGAACTATCACCAGCTCTATTAATTATGACAGATTAGAAACATCCGGGTCCCCACCCCAAGCTGACGGCGAGCACCTGCTGAGCACCTGTCCTGCTGTGGATGGTACCATTTTTTGCCCCTAGGCCACAGCCAGGACAGCTCTGGTTCTCATCCTGCAAATGCAGCAGGGGCTCAGTCTCCAGGGGACAGGGGCTGGATGCTACCCCCAGGCAGTCTCACAGGATATCACTGAGCCGAATGTATCCCCCCACTACCCCTCCCACCCGCCCCGGTGTCAGGCTTCCTTGCGCTCCCCTCAGGTGCCTCCTCCCCAATCCCCCCAAGCCAGGCTGGCTTGGCTGTGGAACGAGAGGTATGCAGTGAAGCAAGACAGGCCCATGCTGAGCCTGGCACGGGGCGGGTGTGGGGCAAAGCAGGCTGGGTGGGGACTGGGTCCTGACCTTCCATCTCTGAGCTGACAACCGGGATGTCCTGAGTTTGTAACTTTTCTCAAGAACTCTTGCCAAATGCCCATTCCTGCCCCTGGGCAGCGGCCCCTCCTCTGAGGAGGATGACAGGGCGGGGTGGTGTGGGGGGGGAATGCAGGAAGACAAAGGGAGGGAAGGGCGGAGGTTTTAGAGGAAACTGAGTGGGGGGCCCCCTGGTGTGGAAAACTCCACGCGCTGAGAGGCAGCTGTGTGGGTCAGAGGAGACAGGAGGCATAAATCCTGGCCTGTCCCCTCAGCTCTGCCCTTCCCGCCTCCAGTCACTGCTTTCTCCCAGGATTCTTGTGCCATGCAAAGGCCTTGTCCCCGTCCCCCGTCCCCGTTCTGCCTACCACTGCTCAAGCACACAGCTTTGGAGGAGGGGGAGGAAGGAAGGGCGTGGGGTCTGGGCAGCTTGGCGGACAAAGGCAAACCCCACACCAGCCACGGGGGGTTGGAGTAAGAAGGTGAGCAGGAAAGGACCACGGGTGACCCCCACCTTGGGGCCCAATGGAGCCCGCCCCTTCCTCAACACGGACACAGCAGTTCCCAAGCCAAGGCCCAGTTTTATTTACACTCATCCGGAGCACATGGTTTGGGGCTACTGGACACGTCTCTGGGGAAAGGAGGCTGAACGCCAGAGGGCAGTGATGGGGTGCAGAAGAAAGAGCAAGGATGGATGGGTCCCCCCTCTTCGGGTGTCCTCCATAGGCTCCCACGTATCCCTGGGCAGAGGCGGAGGTGCAGTCTCATTCAGGATTTGGACTTGGACACAGCAAGTCCGATGAGTCCAGCCAGACCCGCCACGCCCAGGGCCATGCCTCCAACAATGGCCATGCCCACTAGTCCATCTGGGAAAGGGAAAAGGGAGACTGTCAGGAGCCCAGCCCCCACAGGGACCCTGCCCACCATCTTCTTTCTCCCTGCCCGATGCTCCTCAAAAGACGTGCCTCTTCCCCTGGAGTCATGAGGTGAGGGATTCCAAGGCTTGGAGAAAGAAGGCTTCTGAGGGGCTGAGGAGGAATTGCTTGGGGGGGTGGGTAGGGGGGCATTTAAAGGGAGACCAGAGAGCCCAGGCCTGGGGGAAGGAAGAGGACTTAACCAAAAAAAGCCGAGAGACGCCTGGGGATGCTGGGGCCCAGGAGAGTGGGGAGTGGAGGAGGTCAGAGAAGAAGAGTTCACCTTTCTTCATGGCCTTGTCAATGAGCCGTTCCAGTTCCTTGGCCTGGTTGTTCTGGGGCTCAGTCTGCAGCAGGCCCCGCACATACTTTAATGCCTTCTCATATTCCTGCACTCAGGGAAAACATGCCCCCCACACACACCCTCAGTATTCTGTCACTCCTCCTGCCCATCAGAGGGGCCTTCCCTTCACTGGCCCTGGGGGCTCCTCCCTCTCCCTCCACCGCCCCTCCTCCTCCCTGACTCCAGCCCCACCCCATGGAGTAGAGTCCACAAACCACCCCAACTGTGTGGGGGTGATAAGATGGGGGAGATAACCCAAGGCTTGGGGCTGCACTCCCACCTGAGGTCACCTTGCTCCCCACACCCTCGGCAGCTGGAATCTCTGTCTTTCGTCTTCCCTCAGCCTGCTATCTATCACCTTGCACCTCTGTCTCCTGCCTACAGCCCTCCTCGGCCTTCCCGAGGCCCAGGGCTCCCCCGTGGCGGAGAAACGAGAGGGCGCTGCGGCACCCCCACCTTACCTTGAGCCGGTAGTTCCCCACAGCCAGGTAGAAGACATAATCCCGCTGCTCCTCTTTGCTCCCTTTGGGCAGCAGCTCTGGGGAGGGTGGAGGAAAGAGGGTGAAAACCGCTTCTCTCCTTTCCTAGTGCTTGTGTCCCAGAGACCCCGTCCACTCTCTGAACCCCTGTATGATCCTGGGAGAAAGTCACTGTCCTGTGCTTCCCTTTCAGCTCTGGCCACTCGTGGCTTCCCCGTCAGACCTCCGGGGCAGCACGGACCCAGGCTGCCGGACACCCGGGTGATCAACACCCTGGTCTCCATGCTGCAGTCAGCTCTGGCTCATCTAAGTGAACCGACAGGAAATCAAGGCGCTGGAGAAGCCAAAGGCAGCTCTCCTCACTTCTAGCACCGTGTGTTCTCACTGCGGTCACTTGCTGCCCAGACTAGCGTTCAAATAAGTGTGCCCTCTCTCCCCCTTAAAAAAAAAATCAGCTCGAAGCTCATCTTCTGTGAGTGTTCCCTGAGTGACATGACCTGATTCTTTCTTAATTCAGTGACTTCCCAGAGGCTTATGTGCTCGGTTGTATGCTATGCAGTAGAATTTGGTAGTTTTGTGGGTGTTTATCAATCTGCCCAAGTGTCTGTTCTGTCTCCTCAACTAGAACTGGCAATGCTTAGAGACCCCATCTACGGCTGTGCCCAGCTGTAGAGGAAACCTGAGAAATCTGAATGAGCCAAATGGCAAATGTAGGGTGAAGTTATTTGCATTAGAAAATACTTTTGTTTTGGGCGCCTGGGTGGCTCAGCTGGTTAAGCGACTGCCTTCGGCTCAGGTCATGATCCTGGAGTCCCGGGATCGAGTCCCGCATCGGGCTCCCTGCTCGGCAGGGAGCCTGCTTCTGCCTCTGACCCTCCCCCCTCTCATGTGCTCTCTCTCTCATTCTCTCTGTCTCAAATAAATAAATAAAATCTTTAAAAAAAAAAAAGAAAGAAAGAAAATACTTTTGTTTTTATAGATTTACAATGGCCATCCTTCGCTAGTACCCTGTTTGCGTACACATGATTACTTGACCAAGAGAAACGGGTACAGGAGACAGAGATTAAAGGTCAGGTATTGTGGCCTCTGACAAATGGTGACCCATCCAAAACCAATAGGAAATAGGATTCCAATCGAAACAGTGCCATCTGCTCCCAGGTCTGGGGGCCTGTCTTCTGTACTTCTTCCACACCACCCTCATGGAAGGTTTTCAACAGCTGCTGAATAAACAGCATGGTGGGGGCGAAAAGCAAGGGTCTGGGACACACAGGACAGAAGCTTCTAGTCCTAATTCAGCCACGAATTCATTAGCTGTGTGACCTCAGACAAGTCACTCTCCTTATGGTCAGGCTACCAGATTGCCAGAGTCCTGCGGGGACTGCCGTGCTCTGACTCTGTGGGGCTAAACAAGGATGAGGTGGTAATTAGCCAAAAGCACCCTGGGAGAAGCCAGGCTAAGGGGCAGCCCTTTGTCGCAGCTCTTTACAGGAAAATAACTGCGAGGTGACTATTATAGGCTCCCATGTTGAAAAAGGATCCCAGCACTTGAGATGGAGGCAGTGAACGAGGCCATGGCAGTAGTGGGCAGATCCGGCTGGCAGCTGGGAAGGGGAGAGCGGGGCAGCCTAGCTCCTCACCCTCCAGCAGGGCGATGCCTTTCCGGATGTCATCGTTGTACTTGCTTCGCACCAGGCACCAGGCATACTCAAACTGCGTGCTCTTGGACACGGAGCCTGCTGCCTTCTCAGACTGAAATTTCTTTTCAAACTTCTGCCATAGGAGAGGAGAGGAGTCATTTAGAAACGAAGGGGCCCGCCATTCTCTAGCAGGACCTGCGTGTCCAATTCCCAGTTAG